CTACATACATATATGCATACAAGACGTACTATATATGTATATGTATATACATGTCTATATAAATATAAATTAGTACTATACTGTACTTTTTTGTTATCCTTTATAAACATGTATATATATTTCTCTCTATATATATATATATGTGTGTGTGTGTGTGCGTATTTGCATGTTTATGTATGTGTGCATATCTATCTAAATGTCTTGTGTGTATGAAACAAAATAATTTACTACAGTGTAATATACTATATATATGTACATGGATTAGTTCTATATATATGTAGGTATATATTAATATTTAAATATTTATTTTTATATATACATAATTCTGTATCTATATTTATATATATCTCTCTATATGTATGTATTTATTAATATTTAAATATTTATTTTTATATATACATACTTCTGTATCTATATTTATATATATATGTATATGTATTTATATTCATGTATTTCTATTCCAATCACTATATATATACGTAATTTTATCTATTTCGATATTTGTTTATGTATATATATGCGTGTGCGTATGTGTTTTGTGTGTATAAATGTATATGTTTGTGTGTATGTATATTATATATCTATATATATGCATACATATATGTATATTATATATTTATATATTATAACTCTGCATTCATCTACCTATATATTTTTGTACCTATTGATTCATTTCATTTTTATACTTCTTTTACTTTGTAGCTATGCATTTTGTATGTAAGTATATAATATATATTTTTCTATATTTATATAACATTCCTATTTATATTTATTTTTCATGTTTCATCTATTTTTGTATATTTGTATAATATTTTCGATAGATGTGTACTTACATATATAGACATATATATATATGGGATTATGTGTATATGTATATAAACCTACAAGCGAGAATATATATATGTATGTAAGTATGTATATTTTACACGCAGAATGCATATTAATATATGTATGTATGTATGTATATTTTACACGCAGAATGCATATTAATATATGTATGTATGGATGTATATTTTACACGCAGAATGCATATTAATATATGTATGTATATCCTACACGCAGAATATATATATATATATTAAATGTGCACAAATATAGGTATGTGTTTGTTTGTATATATTGTATGTGTATACAGATATCTGTATGAAATTATGAATATTTTTATATACGTATATAGACATATATATATGGTTGTGTGTTTGTCGACATGTATATGGATTTATATATATATATATATATATATATTTGGTTGCGTGTTTGTGGACATGTATATATATATATATATATAATGTGTATATACATAATGTTTGTCTATATGTACGTATGTGTATGTATGACGTATGATCATATTATATATATATATATTTACATATATATTTTTTGTTAGTGTATTCTTATAATCCTTTGCATGTACATATATATATGTATTTCTATAGTTCTGTATGTACATATTTATATATATATATGGTTGCGTGTTTGTGTATATCTATATCTATATACATAGATGTTTATCTGTATATCTGTACATATATTTGGTATTTGTATACATGTCTAAATGTTTGTATATCTATATATATATGTGTGTGTGTGAATCTTTACATTGACATATATATATGTATATTTCTATGTATAGATACATGCATGTATGTAAAAAATTTGGCTGTTTTTGCGTGTATGTATACACACACATATATGTATAATATATATATATTTTGTGTTTCTAGTTTTTGTTTCTGAAATTAATATATGTATATATATATATATATCTTCATATAAATATATGTGCGTTTGTGGGCGTGTGAGTAAATACATATATATATATTTATATATATATATATGTATAAATAATGGTACATATATGTATATATACACATGAACATTTATATTTATCAATATCTGTTTATTTTCAGACGATTATCTTTTTATATATATAGTTATGTGAGTGTGTATTCATATAAGTTTTAGTTTGTATATATGTATAAAAATATATGTTGCTAATCCTTATATACATACATCTATCTATAAATATCTATGTAAGTACGCTGGATATATTTATCTATATATGGATGTATGAATACGTGCATGTATATATATATGAGTACATCAACACCTAACATAGTTACGTGTATACATGCATACATATATACATAAGATATATACATATAAAAAAAGTAATGTGCTTTCTAACCAATTTTTATACGTTGAATTATTGTTTTGTGTTACTTATTGTCGTTTGTTTTCTGTCCAAATATCACTGCATTACAGATTAGAGACGCTGTCAAACTCGTGGAGCAGGGACATGTGCGCGTGGGGCCTGAAATGGTGACAGACCCTGCGTTTTTAGTAACTCGCACCATGGAGGACTTTGTTACCTGGGTAGATACCAGCAAGGTCAAAAGACATGTGGCCAAGTACAACGACCAACTCGATGACTTCGATCTGATGTGATGAGAGAGCATCGTATAAGCAACCACGATAAGGGGGAATAAAAACTTTGACAACACCATACAGGAGCCCAGTACCTTCGTTTTCCACATAGAATCTCTGAAACAGTGCTTGGTGTTCATTTTGTCTGCAATCCGCATAAATAGATATTGCTTAGGCTTGCCTACATTATGACCGCCTTTTGAAATGGCATGCATTATGACTGCCTGTTATTCTGCCTTCCCCAAACCTGTCGCTTACACCTCTACACGCGACGACTAACGCATATGACTACCTTCTTTTATGACTGACGCTTGGGCTTGCTATTATCTTTGAAAGTTCTACATGATAAGCGTGGTGGTATTTCATAAGGGCTCATCAGTCATTTGTACAAACTAAAACAGAATACAAAACTCGAACACCCTCCTTCGTCGATATCCAATCGGATCAACAAACAAAATCCACTAGTCCAGTATCACAATTTCTTATTCAATTTAGGAGGCTATGAACTTCTACAGAATTGAGAATAAATATATCCTGTGGAAGTCCCTGGGAAAAGGAATATATATGCCATTTGTAAAGTTCTAACCTTGTCATTATTTAAATTTGTTCCTGGGACAGTGGGTCTATGGGGTGTTTTTATAAGATTGGAAGTTGATTGTCAGAATACCGTCATGTAAGTTTGCAAGAACAACCCGCAAATTCGAACAAAGTTCTGTGGTTATCATGGGCTAGCCGCTAGAGCCTCTCTAGAGTCTGGACTCGTCGCATACTTCACAAATCAGCCCGGAAAAAGTAAAAACCATAGGATGCGTTTTTTTTTATGTGCCTATCGGCTAACAGTCGAAATCACAAAGTCATACCATAACCGCAAGGCGCCAGATCACAAAGTCATACCATAGCCGTACAAGGCACATGTTGTTGGCGGGCTATCTGTGTGTTTAGCCTATTGGTTGTGGGGTAAAACAGTAGGATAAAACTTATTACCCGAGTATTGGACCTCATAGTGGTTTTAGGACCACCTGTGGGGGGAAAGGTTCAACTTTATAATACTTTTACTTTTTAGTTTTACATTCAAAACGTTGTACATAATGTATAACGTTATGAGGTTGTGTAGTCGTGGATGGACCCCTGCTAGGACATGGAGGCTGGAGCGCTGTGTGTGTCGTTGAAAAAAATGTAAATTTAAATTTATGCGCCCTCAATGACAGTCATCACTGGCTACACCTCTTTCTACTAGAGTGAGTAGGGACTCTCTCTACTCTAGGGCTACTGTTCACTTCGGGACAAGAACGCAAAAAAATACTATCTCCAACGAGCTACTCTCTAGACACTGTTTCTGACTTCGAATCTGACACAGAGTAAATAGTCGACATGAACACAAAATTTGATCTAAAAGTCGATTTTTTATATGGAAAAAGTACTTTTCTGTATCGCTTTGACAGTCCACTGAGATAGGCTGATAGACTGATACCAATTGGCAATCGATACACTCGTGTCTCGACTGTCGAATAGGAATAGCGGATAGATTCATAGCCCCTGACAGTCCGACACTTCACACTCGAGTACTCGGCAGCCCAACACTGGCGACACATCAGTGACATCACAGTCTCAGACTCAGTGACACAGAGTTGATGAGTCACAGCCTGCCCTCAGAGGTTTCTTCAGTTGGCTAGGCGTACAGTATGTCTAATTTATATTTTAGAAGGCTATGTATTTTAAAATAACATTACAACAGTTAACACACATCTGACTCGACTGACATAGCCTCCGCCCTCCTACATCAGTATTGATGTTCTTTTTAGCCTTTTAGGAGGCTATGCAATATGCATCTGAACTTCTGAAGACTGAAATTCAGAATTCTTATGACCACTTCTGGAAGTTATGACATCAGTGTTTCAGAGAGTAAAAAACCAGGCCAAAATAGTGATTTCAATGGATGTAAATTTTATTATTTTTTAACAAAAACAACCAAGCAATTCAGAACCCGAGAAAAATTTCTAAAAAACAAAATCAATAAATTTTTACCTACATGTAATTTTTTTTAAAGAGTTTTATATAAAAATAAATAGTGAAAAGTTGAAGTGATTCAGTGAGTCGCTTGACTCTTGAGACTTTGAGTCCATGTTTTTGTTTTCAATATTTTAAAAATATAAAATTATGTACATAGTTATTTATTTAAATTATAATATTAAAATAGAAAGACCAAGAAAACAAATCAGTCGAGATAAATTTTTTTTATTTTTTTTTATTTTTTTAAAGTTAGTACATTTCTATCAAAAACAAAACCCATCTCTTCTCAAGTTCTCACTTTGGTTTATTCATCTTTTGGAAAAATGTATTCAGTGTAATGATATGTATGATTCAGAAGGCTATGTGATTCTACAAATATTCAAACGCAGATGAGCGTGGGAGGCCAGCAGCAATTTTTCATGCTCATCGCAGACTATTAACCGAGTGTCGTTCGAGAAGGATCGCCAAATTTAAAAGCATCCGGCTATTGAAATGAAGTGATCATTGTAAGACATGAAGGCGAACAGCGAGCTATTTGCATCCAACTGAGTGTTTCTGTCCACCGTCACACACACCCATTCCTGATTCCACTACAAGGTTGTGTTGGCTGATGTTACACCCATAACCACCAATATGGAAGTCTGCACAGGATTAAAAGATCAACATAAAAACAATGCAGATGTATAGAGGACAAACCTACGAGACCGCATTCGCTAGCACAATGTAGTCGATTCTACGATGAACAATCAGGCCCAATAATCCCAACCGAGAAGCCCAGACTATTAGGACAGTATTTGTGGGCAATCAACGTCTGAGCCGATGTACTGATCCTCATTACGGCCCTTACAATAATGATGCTATTGAACTTTACTGAGGATGATCAAAGTTCACTCACTACCAACGAGGATGTTAGACAGACTGTATTTACAACATTTCTCTCATTGAGCTCGCGATTTTTGCCGTCGTGAGTCTTACACTAATATATATTAGGCATGAGCCAGAAATACAGACAGACTGTATTTACAACATTTCTCTCATTGAGCTCGCGATTTTTGCCGTCGTGAGTCTTACACTAATATATATTAGGCATGAGCCAGAAATACAATCTCGTAATGAGGCTTTTATGCTGCAACTGGTTCTATGTAGCCTGATCGCAATTATATCGCGAATGGCTACAGTTTATGTGGTGTTCGCGAATCACCTAGAAAAAGAAGACGTAAAACGTTGGTACACTGCCATTTTTCGGGCAATCGGTTTGTCGAGTTACCTCAGCGTCCCGTCCGCCTTAGCACTAAGATTGCGCCTCATCTACTTGATCATGTTCTGTAATGACTTCCAGCCGAAATACTACATCGGGTATCTCTGGCATATTCCCATTATCATTTCGTCAGGATTGCCCGTATTTATCTGCGGTTATGCGCAGCTTGAGTGCAGCGTCGCTGAGAAATTTTCCGGGTGTATCATTGCTTGGTCTGCCCTCAATTTTCAATTCGGATACTATTTGTTCCATGTCTGCCCAGTTCCAGGCCTGTTTAATGATTTCTGGGGTAATGCACGGGTATACATTTTCTTTTTTTGTGGTTCGATATCATTCAATACTTACATCCAGGCGGACGGTCGTCCAAGTGTGATATTCGATGCATTCTGTATTTGGTATCCTGCCATACTGTGCGTGGTTTGGTCTGAGGTGTTGCAATTTGCGTTCTGAAGGTGCTTGGGCGGAGATTGGGCACGGGCTGGTTCCATGATATAGACTTGTGTGGGGTTGAGCATAGGTATATCCAATCCGATCATGCTATAGAAAGTGTTTTCCAAGATACCTATCTTAATGGGATATTAGAATGTCTATCGAAGACAAACCATTTCGAGGAGTGCTACATGTTCATGCAAGGTTGGTGGTCGATTAAAAACAGTAGCATAAATCCCGACAATTATGAGGTTGTAGAGCTCTTCCGCCTGATCAAAACTCACATAATTGGAACAGATTGCAGCATGCGAATCAATATAAGTTATCAGCTTCGGGAAGCCGTACTAATGGAATACCGGGATGTCACAGAAAATGGAAAAGCCACGACACAGCTATACACGTTGCTAGGTGACGTGGCCGATGAGCTCAAGATGACATTGAGGGAACACATCGTTGTTGTATTCAACCAGGAACGTGTTGTTGTACACTGCCAGCGGGTAACTGCTTTGTTACGTGTAGGATTGGTAATCGGTAGAGATGTTTGATTATATTTAATCATTAAAATACGAACAACTATCAAGTCTCAATGGGTTTGCGCATTTTTAAAGAAAATTAGTCATATTTTTACACCTGGCCTTCGATGCTCCGCTGCCGACAAAATGTATAGTTCAAATTTTCTGACTCGGGTATAATAGAAAATATGTTAGCTAGACTCTGTTGAACTCGCTAGAAAATGCACCCAAATCACACAAACACGTGGCGTAACACCAAGGAAGGCATGTATTAAACTTCCTAAATAAATCACAATATGACCTTGTACTCGTTTCATACAGAGATTTTGAGGTTGAAGTTCAGACTAGCGTATATGTTTTATTTCCTTCGAACCACCACTAAATAAAATCTGAAGCTTAAATCCGCCATCTGCCATGGTGATTCAGTATGTTTCCACACGCAATCGCCACACAAAAAAAACGCTGATAAAAACAGCTGTTTCCAACGCTTCCGCATTTCCTGGGTCCATAGCATTATTCCTGCAAACTACAACTGTTTCAAGGCGACGCTATATGGCTAAGCGAACGTACGTGTATATCACGGGTGACGGGCAGCTGTATGAAGGGCGTGTACGTGGTTCTCTAGCGTTTATCTCTGTGTGGTCGTGCGTTATTTGGTCGATTCCTCGTCACCAGACACGTTCATAGACGCTATCTTATTCAGCCCGTCTTCTATACTCTGGTTAATAGTCGAGTCCCTGTATACGGACAGAGAAGAAGTGGACCGAATCAATTAACAAATGGTTCACACAGACTCGTGTGGATTGACTATGCAGTATGTGTTATTGATCGAGAGGTTGCAAGCACTTGTGTATGGTGAGGCGAATTTATAGGTAAAACGGATAGAAGTAGTAACTAGCCCAAATACAGAGCTGTGTTGGCTACTGTTCCATCTCTTGGTGGTCATCCTCATGGTCTGCAACTGTAACAAATTCATAGTCCCTACATAAAAACAAATATGATGACTAGCCATCAATCAGAAAACTCGTCATATGCACATTCGTTTTCTTCAGCGACTATGCCTAGCGGCAGAATGTGCACCTTCATAGTTAAATGGCTAGAGGAAGTCTACGAAAACAGAATATAGTTACATATAAGGTATATGCGTCTTTATCTTCAATACATAAAAACACATTTAGACAATTAATTGAAGTTTATGTACATATAAAATACATATATACATATACAAATACAGTGCGCTTTCATATTCAAAAGGGTAGAGGAAGTCTTCGAAAATGCTATATTTTTACAAGGTAGATGCATCTTTATATTCTATACATGAACACATTTACACAATTAATTGAAGTTAATATACATATACATATACATGCACATGCACATAACACATAATACATAAACTTATATATATATATATATATATATATATATATATATATATATAATATATAATATATATTATATATTTTATATATATATATATATATGTATATATATATACACATCGACCTAATATCAATGGTCAGTAATCTTGACATATTTACAATTGATTACGTTCACATACAAGCAATTATGTTCATATATACACACCTTCTGGGTGGCATCCTCTCGTTCTCTGCATCTGCGATTTTAGCCTGCTCGAATGAACTGATAGCCTTTTTGATACCCTCCGCTCCCTTAGACAACACTCCGACTGGAAGCGCACTGCGATAGTTAGAATAATGAATAGTCCGTGAGTGTGATCCGACTACTATTAACAAATCAAAATCGCAGGCGAAGCTAGTAGTATGTAGCAATATATCTGCATTAAGGATGGGTAGAATATGACATTGTGAAGTACAAAGAGTAGTGGTGAAGTTACACGGCCTAAAAACGTGACAATTTCCTTTTTTTTGAGCAGCAGATAAAAAGAAAATTATGGCAGTTACCCAAAAGATATATAAGGATAAATACCTGTTGGGTGTGAGACCCTTGAGCTTGAGAATCTGTTCGCGCTCCTCTCGCAAGATACGGAAGAATCGTGCCATTTTACCGATAGCCAGCACTTTGTTGCGCAGAATCTCACGCCTCGCCTCCAACGAGTTGGGATCTCTGGGTGGCACAGTAGCCTTGATCTCGGGTTCCTCCTTCTTGGGCGGCTCTAACTCCTCCTCCGATTCACTCGACATGTCATCATCGGCACAGTTGTTCAGTATGGCGACCAGCATATCGGTCACCTTCTCACCAACGAAGGGCATTGACCAGGAGAACACGTCCATGAAGTTGGGGAGCCAGTAGGGGTGGGGGCTGAAGTTGAACTGTCGGATGTTCATAACGTTGTTCTCGTACTTGAGCACGGCCGCTTTGTTGCCATACATATCCAGATAGTTGGGTGCCGAGAAGATCGTGATGACTGACGGGAACCCTGTAGCCCAACCCAAAACATGAATGAGTGAGTAAAAATGGTACAATAAAGACTATACATAAATATAATCCTGATGTCCCATCAAGCTGCTATATTTTTGAAAGGTTGTCCACTGATACAAACCGTACCAACTACCCAGCCCCCGCACTTACCAGTGATACCATTCTTCTTGTACATTCGGTATCCTGCATCCTGAGCCTCGTGGGCACGGATGATGGACAGCAGATTATTATTCTCCAAGAAAGCGCAGGCGGCATTGAATGTGTAGAAGTACGAACAACCTCTTACGTTGTTGTGGATAAAGTGCTCGTCTGTGGGCTCATTGCCAAAGTCTTCGTGGGGATCGGACCACAGCATATCACACATAACTGAGGTGACAAGGACAGCGGGATTAAGAGTTAGCATTATATGCACTGAATAAAGTATACATTGGCAGGAGTACAAAAATCAAAGTAAGTCGGAATAAGGATATAGCAGTATTTAGAAACATCATAAGCATAAATAACGCCTACAGCGGACATAGGCCAGACATAAAGAAAGACATAGGTGTGGATATAGTATACTCGGAACGAGAACATGCAAAGTTTCAATTACATTCATATATATGTTTTCTGTGTAACATATATATATATATATGTATATATATATAAATACATACATGCATATATGTACTTGTATATCAAAATACTGTATGTATGTATACATATATAAATATATATATATATATATATGTATATATATGTTTATATATATACATATAAATATAAATATATAAATAAATAT